CCCCAAGGAGATGTGGAACCACCTGAAGCCCAACCTTCAGAACTTGGTGACACATTTCGTGTTCCCCGTTCTCTGCCTTTCCGAGGAGGACATCGAAAAGTTCGAGGACGAGCCCGATGAGTACCTCCACAGGAAACTCAACTTTTACGAGGAGGCATCAGCACCGGATGTGGCGGCTACCAACTTCCTCGTTGGCCTGACCAAGAACAGGAGAAAGCAGACCTTTGAGATCCTCAAGTTTGTCAACGCCGTGGTCAATGAGTACGAGCAGGCGCCGGATGACAAGAAGAACCACATTGCCAAGGAGGGTGCCTTGAGAATGATCGGTACTTTGGCGCCTGTCATTCTGGGCAAGAAGAGTCCCATCGCCGACCAGGTCGAGTACTTCCTCGTCCGCTACGTTTTCCCCGATTTCACCAGTCCCCAGGGCTATCTCCGTGCCCGAGCTTGCGACACGATCGAGAAGTTCGAGCAGCTCAACTTCCAGGACCAGAACAACCTCCTCACCATCTACCGCCACATCCTCGACTGCATGGCTGACGTTGCCCTGCCCGTCCGTGTTACTGCTGCCCTCGCTCTGCAGCCCCTTATCCGTCATGACATTATCCGCACAAGCATGCAACAAAGCATCCCTACTATTATGCAACAGCTTCTCAAGCTCGCCAACGAGGCCGATATCGACGCTCTCGCCAACGTCATGGAGGACTTCGTTGAGGTCTTCGCCACTGAGTTGACGCCTTTCGCCGTCGCTCTGAGTGAGCAGTTAAGAGACACGTACCTTCGCATCGTGCGTGAGGTGCTCGACAAGAACAAGGATAACGGCGACGATGAGTATGGTGACTACCTCGATGAGAAGAGCATTACTGCTCTTGGTGTTTTGCAGACCATTGGAACTCTTATCCTTACTTTGGAGAGCACTCCTGACGTTTTGCTGCACATTGAGGCTGTTCTCATGCCCGTCATCCAGGTCACCCTGGAGAACAAGCTGTACGACCTGTACAACGAGGTATTTGAGATCATCGACAGCTGCACATTCGCTGCCAAGGGCATCTCCCCTACCATGTGGCAAGCTTTCGAGCTCATCCATGCTACCTTTAAGGCCGGTGCGGAACTCTACCTCGAGGACATGCTGCCTGCCCTCGACAACTTTGTCCAGTACGGAGCTGGCCAATTGGTCCAGAAGCCAGAGTACATCGAGGCGCTCTTCTCCATGATCTCTGACATGTTCAACGATAACAAGGTTGGGGGCGTCGATCGTATCTGCGCCTGCAAGCTGGCCGAGGCGATGATGCTGAACCTGCGTGGCCACATCGACAACTACGTTTTGCGCTTCATTGAGTTCGCCATGAACGTTCTCAACGCCCAGGATGTCAAGGTCAAGGCCTACAAGATCCACCTCATGGAGCTGGTCATCAACTCCATCCACTACAACCCCATCCTCACTCTGCACATCCTCGAGACCAAGGGATGGACTAACAGATTCTTCAGCCTGTGGTTCGGCAGCATGGGCAACTTCACCAGAGTCCACGACAAGAAGCTTTGCATTGTCGCCATCTCTGCCCTTCTCAGCCTCAAGGCTGATCAGGTTCCCCAGAGCGTTTCCGTCGGATGGCCCCGACTGCTCCAGGGCATCACTGAGCTGTTCAAGACCCTCCCGGCTGCCATGAAGAACAGGGAAGAGGCACTCCGTGACGATTACCACCTCGAGGCCGGCACCTACGATTACGGCGACGAGGATGAGTGGGCCGAAGACGAGGCCAACTGGAACGTCGAGGATGAGCCTGAAGAGGAAGAGGCTACTGAGGCCCGTGATGAGAGCACGGCATACCTTGAGTTCCTCAACGAGGAGGTCAGTAGGAGCCCATTTGCTATTAAAGTCATTCGGACTAACTGCTATCAGGCCCAGAAGTTCAGCCGCGGTGTCGAGGACATCGAGTCTGAGGATGACTTGGGCGAAGATAGCGTTCTTCTTGAGTCTCCGTTGGACAAGGTTGACCCTTACCAGCTGTTCAGCGCTACTTTGATGAGTAAGTGATGGCTACAGGTCCTAGAATGGCACATGACTAACAAACGTGCAGAGATGGAGGAGGAGCAGCCTCAGTTCTATCAGTCCCTGGCTTCTCATCTGACCGCCGAGGATCAGGCTGCCCTGCAGGGTGTCATGCAGAAGGCCACCGAAAATGCCCAGGCCGCCCAGCTGGCCCTTGCCCAACAACAAGGTGCTGCCCCCGTCAACGGCGGCGCCAGCTAAAGCCCTACCCGCGATTTCATCGATGACCGAGCCGGGCCCCTCCACGACACGGGGTTTTTTTCTTCTTCCCGAGCAAGAACGTAGTCTTCTCTGACCGCCCCGGTATGATGACGTGAGAGGGAGACGCGAGATGATCCGAGTGAGCCGCTGCCGCTACGCACGCCGGTGGACATGGCGCGCAAGTGCCGAGGAGTTGTTGTGGACGAGCGGTCACAGGAGAAAGATTGACGAGGCAAAGAATTACGATTATCCCCATCCCCTTAAGAGTACAAGAGGCCCCAAAAAGGAAAGATCTTCAAGAGCATTAGAGCGTGCAAACGATGGCTGGAGGCCAGCTGGATATGAGAGATGATGATGCAGCGGGGAGTTTTGGTAGGTGCTCAGAGCACGGCTTCCCCCTATTTGTTGTCTGTGTGGGAAGCCCAGGGGAGGAAAAATAGTCTTGTTGCAGCTTATTAGGTGTCAATGAGGACACTTCGATTGTCATCATGGCCGTCGTTTACTGTCGGCAGGCATAGCGCTGTGGGAGGCCTGCGTGTGGAGGTTGAAGCTCATGATGTCAGAGTTTTCTAGGTAGTTTAAATTCCCCCAATACTTCAAGAATCAGAATCAGTTCACAACCACCCGTCTCTTTGCCGTGTCTTATTGCGGGAGAGTAGTGATATCAACGATGATATCAACTCATAGCTTCATGATTCTGTGGCTTCGTGTTTCCGTTAGTCTCTGTTGTCTCCCGAAACCTTTACCTAGTGAAAACGGCTACATGCTCCCGGGCAGTGTTGATCTCGGAAATGATGGCTTTGCTCGCTCACTAGTCATGGTATAGTTGGCATTTGCCAAGTCAGACATGCGTCCTTCGAGAGGTTAGGTTGCACATTGCCCTTGATCATGGCGAGTGGAAGTTCTTGCAGATAGGCAATCCGCTAGAGGGCGGCGGGACGACTATTATGGCTACGGTGCTACCAGACGATATTCCTACCTTGTGGCGCACTTGACGGATTGCGCGGACCTCATTGACGCAAATGCGATGAACCACGTAGATGCTTCTCATTCCGAGCTGGCAATTTTGTTCACTGCATTTCGAACCCGCCTCGTAGGTTCGAGTTTGGCAACGAAGGTGGGATTGCTCCAATCCAGGATTGTCGCTGTTGCTCCTTCTGCTTGCACCTGGGAACAGTGCAAAGTTGATTGGGCAACTTGGGAAGTACAAACAAAGGCTTGTAACAGCGGGCATTCTAACAGAATCGATTGGCAGAGCAAAAGTGGTTCACCTCTGACGTTTCTGCGCTTTCGTCTGTGATGGCACCATCAGAGACTGCAGGTTGTCAATCGAATAAGCCTCCTAGTTTTGTTTTCGCTTTGGGGGGGAGGGGTTTAGATGATATCAACACACCAGGCACGAAACCGTTTAGAAATATAGGTTAGCTTCACTCTTCACTGCATTTTACAACCGGCCCGAAGTGTTCTAAGTGTATTGAGTTCATTCAAATAAGAGTTGCTCCGGGATCCCGTCCGCTCTCCCATAGATAAATAAGCCTATGAGCGGGGGAGGACGACTGGAGTGGGAAGAGTAGCTAAAAAAGCAAAAATACATACAACACCGGGCATTCGCCGGTCGTCACCGACCCGACTACTACTCCAGCCCTCATTGGCTTATCTATGGGAGAGCGGACGGGATCCCGAGTTTTCCAATGGGTATGGTCGTATGTGATGAAATGACGGAGCAAAGTCAATCATATAGTGTGCGACACGGCTTATGCGCAAGTGATACCCTGCCCGTTGGGGTTCGGCGCATTTGACGAATCAGATGGATTTTGAGGTCATTCAAGCTTTCGGCGGATGGCGTTGGTTGACTGAAGGCTATTTTGAACATGTTAACTTGAGGTTGGCCATTAATACTGACTTTTTGGTGAATGTCTCTCTGGCAGATATTCTTTCCACGTCGACGTGTGCCGCGGTTGTTCCCAACGTGCTGCATGGCAGGCAATATGTTTTGCCCACTGTCCCTGGATTTAGTACCTCAGTCGTCGGTTTGCCCATTGCAATCAGCAACTGGGCCGCAGGTCAGAATCTCAAGGTCTAAAAGTCCATGCTACTCATGGGATTAGCTCTACTGTGATTCCAGCTTGTGGTTGTGGCGTCACGGGAATATCTGAAAATGTCCCTAATTCAAACCAACACCGAGAGGTGCGACTGCAGAACCCTCGGGTTGCGAGCGTGCGGTGTTTCGTTCGCTTCAGGCGGCAGCCCGACGGTCAGGTTCTGTTTAGCATGGAGAACAGTTGCCATTTCCGGTATGTCTCTCGTGTTTCTTCACTGGCTACCCTGTCCGCGGAGGCGGGCGACGGAGCCGAAAGAAGAGGTGCAGCGCAGCGATATCTGGACCGGTCCAAAGGCGAGAGCAAACATGCAATCAATACGGGTGTTTCGCTTACCTTTTTACCCCTGCGAATGTTTTCCCATTCGCCGCGGAGATTTCTTCAGCTCCACACCGATCGCTGCAAAGAGGTAAATGTGCCTCGGCGCGCATATGCATGTTGACTTCCGTTGGTTCCTTCTCCCTGGTCGACGAAGAGGGGGGCCTACAGGTAGGATTGTCTGGCCACCACAAAAAGGATTGTCCACCCCTCCGAAATCCCCAGGAGCCCCGTTCGTTTTCACATTTGAATTCAAGGTTTCATCCAGTATCGTACTCGGCAGTTTGATCTCAAAACTTCGTCGAGATTCGAACGCAAAGCGATCGTTAAACATGGCTGAGGCTGAGACTCGTGCGATCGACCACGAGGTGGCGATCGCTGCTGATGAGGTACGCGTTGCTCTTTCGGATGTTGTGGATCTGCTAACAATGTTACCAGGTGACCGATGATAGCGCATCGGAAGTAGGAGTAAGCTTAGATTGCCTCTCCTTTCGCCTCCTGCTGCTGCATTATGCTTGAATTCGATCGCTTATGCAGGGTCTGCCCAGAGTCTCGCTTCTTCAAGCACAAGTGTGACCAGTTCTCTCCTTCAATACCGAATCGAGAATGGCAGAACCTATCACAGTTACAAGGAAGGGAGTGAGTCTACTTATTGTTGCTTCTAGGGATCGCAACTCACAGATTCCAGAATATGTCATGCCGAACGACGCGAGAGAGAGCGACAGACTAGGTATCTCTTGGACAGCCGAGAGTCTCTCTTATGAAATGGCTGACGAGATAAATGCAGATTCCCAACACGAGCTCATGATCTACACACTGAGGGACAGGCTCGGCTTAGCTCCCCCATGCGACCCCAAGGCTAAGGTCGGCCGCGTCCTTGACGTGGGTACGGGCACCGGAATCTGGGCGGCTGACTTTGGTGAACTACACCCTGAGGCTGATGTAAGTCATCCACGTGGAAACTACATTACAGTCGCTCGATTGTTCTCTAACTCGGTCTCTGCGTCGCAGGTGCTTGGCATGGATCTCTCTGCTCCGGCGGCAGAATTGTAAGCATGCGGCTGGTCCTATGACGGACCATTTTGCTAAGCTAATCATTGATATGTTCCAGCGTCCCTCCCAACGTCAAGTTCGAGATTGATGACCTTGAGGAGGATTGGACCTACTCGCGCCCGTTTGACTACATCCACCATCGACTCCTCAACTCGTGCATCAATGATTGGCACGCGTATCTCACCAAGATCTACGAGTGAGGCTCCTGGTTGCCTTTTCCATACTCTTTACATTGACAGCAAAATAGAAACCTCGTGCCTGGTGGTTATGTCGAGCTTCAAGAGGGCGAGATCCACCTGAAGTCCGACGACGATACTCTTCCCGCCGATAGCGACCTGGCCAAGTACGCAGACCTGATCCAAGAAGCCGCAGAGAAGGCCGGCCGCAAGTGGCAGGACATCCGCGACGTCAAGGCCATGATGATCGAGATTGGCTTCGTTGACGTCGAGCTGTACTGCTACAAATGGCCAATCAACGACTGGCCTAAGGAAGAGTACTACAAGGTCCTCGGGACCTACAACTGCGAGAACACCTCGAACGCCTGCGAAGCCATGTCTATGGCCCTCTTCACCCGTGTTCTCGGATGGTCGCGGGACGAGGTCAACGTCTTCCTCATCAGTGTCCGGAAGGATCTGAAGAACCGAGCTTATCACGCCTACTTCCCAATGTGAGTGTCTTCTCGAGGTAGACTTTTCTTCCTGGTGAGCAGTACTAAAGAAGCATCAGCCCCATCATTGTTGGACGCAAGCCAGAGGCCAAGAAGACTCCTGCGAAGACCGATGCCTAAACGGGCAAAACCAGGCATTTGATAAAGCATCCATGATCTCTATGACGTGTCCACAATCAGAAGGAAAAGAAACGTTGGACAGCAAGAAACTCGGACTCAGCTGGGATCGAGTGTTTCCTGGGAAATGACTGACGAAGCGATGTCAGGACTTCAGCACTACTCGCTGCAGTCAAGTACATGGGCACTTGCCGCAACCCTATATAAGCCACTCATGTCTTGCATCTTAAATGTTTTGATAGATCAGCCAGAAAAGAGTCACACATATCTTATCGTCTTAGTTTCAATTACACTAAAGAGGGGAAGTCGTCCAGGAAAGCGGCCCAGGCCAAGTCAGGTGCAACAATCACAAGGTACAGGGATGGCGGGGAAAGCTGCCAGCGCCGCGTTAGTGGTTGGCGCCGAGCCCAAACCGCGGGTAGCGGCGGCCTCCGGGAGATGGTTTAGCGGGATCCGACCCCTGATTACTGGTGCATTCCGGCGACAGCTGCAGCGGTGTCGCGGGGCGCCTGGGCTCTGCAGTTGGTGGTGGGGGGATCCACCTGTGGAATCTCAAGTGTCAACATCACTTCACCTCTTGCTCACCGTGTCAACTTTGACTACAGTTTCTCTCTTTTCCCTCTTCTCAACCTCTTGAATCTACCAATCTTGTGTGAAAGCGTACTAATCGAGTGATACCCGGATCGATTAACTCAACCCGGGCACCTAGCGTCAAGACTCTACCGACCTAAGAGACACCTTACCCCTTCCCCGCCCATCCTCGACGCAGCCAACATGACGACCAGATACAGAGTAGAGTGTGAGTAACTCCTTCCGGTATTCGTCTATCATGTAACTAATACACGCTCAGATGCTCTGAAGACTCACAGGAGAGATCAATTCATCGGTAAGACAACACCAGTGATGGTTCTCGGCAGCCCGTCCCGCAGCACGTATCCAAGCACTTCATGCCAGCTTCACCGACCCCCTCTCTCACTAGCAAGGGCCGAGGTATCACCAAGCTCATCACCGGGCAATTCATCTCAAACAATATCCCGGATGAGATGAGAACATCTTCAAAACCATTTGCCAAAATGTCATCAAAAACTGCATGAAACGACTCACTGACATGTCCCGCAGAATGGATCAAAGGGCTCCTCGCCGTCCCCTTCGTCCTCTACTCTCAACCCACCGGAGTATTCGACACAAACACAACAAACGTGGACCGCATGCGCGAAGAAGCTCACCGCCGCTACGCCGAGATCTTCCGTGACGTCGAGCACATGATTGACGACCACAGTAAGCCTCAGTCTCACTCACTCATCATCGGTCACTCATTAATGCTCCCTTCCCCCGCAAAGTCGGCCGCCAAAACGAGACAAACAACCTCCCCTCGAAACTAAAGATGCTTGTCCCCAGCGCGGGGCCCTTCTTCACCCGCCTGCCCCTCGAGGCGGCCTTCAACCACATGGATAGCAAGCGGTATATCTCCTCGCGCCGCTACGTCTCGCCCTCGTTCAACGACGTCCGTCTCATCCTCAACTCGGCCCAGATCATGGCCGTCACGGCTGGGTCGCTGCAGCTCGTCACCTTCGATGGTGATGTCACGCTCTACGACGACGGCGAGAACCTGGAACCCTCCAGCCCCGTCATCCCCCGTCTCCTCGGTGAGCAGTCGCAACATCCTCCCCCTCACCGCTGAGAAGCATCTAACACCCCTCCCGCAGACCTCCTCCGCAAAGACATCAAAATCGGCATCGTGACAGCCGCGGGCTACACCACCGCAGACCGCTACTACGCCCGCCTCCACGGCCTCCTCGACGCCATCGCCGCCTCGGAAACCCTCACCCCAACCCAAAAAGAATCCATCGTCATCATGGGCGGCGAGGCCAACTACCTCTTCGAGTACTCCGCCGCCTCCCCGCACCGCCTCGCCCCCGTGCCGCGCGACCGCTGGCTGACGCCCGAGATGGCCGCCTGGTCCGCCGACTCCATCGCCGCGCTCCTCGACGTCGCCGAGGCCGCGCTGCAGGACTGCGTCAAAACCCTCAACCTACCCGCCACCATCCTCCGCAAGGACCGCGCCGTCGGCATCATCCCCACCGACCCCGCGCTGCGCATCCCCCGCGAGTCGCTCGAGGAGACGGTCCTCGTCGTGCAGAAGATCCTCGAGCTCTCGGCGCTCGGCAGCCCCAACGCGCAGGCGGAGGCGGGGGAGCAGCACGGCGGCGCGGGGCGTCCTGGCGTGCCGTTCTGCGCGTTCAACGGCGGCCGCGACGTGTTTGTGGATATCGGCGACAAGTCGTGGGGCGTGACGGTGTGTCAGCGGTGGTTCGCCGCCAAGGCCGGGCAGGCGGACAGGCCCATCGCCGGGGAGAACACGCTGCACATTGGCGATCAGTTCTTGAGCGCCGGCAGCAACGATTTCAAGGCGCGGTCTGTGGGAACGACGGCGTGGATTGCGTCGCCGGCTGAGACGACGGAGTTGCTTGACGATCTGAACGAGCGGGTTTAGACGGACGGACAGATGGACTCGAAGGGGGGGAGGAGGAGAGACCGCAGCCGCATGAAGAGCGACCTATTACTGCAGGTGTGGGGCTCATCTTTTCGAAGAGGGCTCACCATGCAACAGGGATGATGGTGATCGGAGGAGGGATAAAAGGGCCAGGTCCGGGAGAATTTGTTTTGGAGAGGGGATATGCATTGCCTTGCCTGTCTGTTTCTTGGTGCATTTTGATTTTGCCAGACGGGTGCTACTAAGGGAAATGGAGGGATAGGGAAGATTGCATTGCCTCTATTTGTAGTAGAGGATTAATTTATGACTTGCTTGCTCATGGCGCAAAACACTTCATGAGCTTCCGACATGCAGCGGTGGAGGAGGATGACTATATTGAGGCCATCATGATGATGAGCAAAACGAGCAGGGGCGTGAGCATCAACATTGGGGATCACCAAAAACATGTCACATGTCAGGCATTGTTTCGCACAAGGTTGACAAAAAGCGGCCGTCAGTGGCCGCATGAGCAATGGTATTTTGTATGACCAAACACTATATTGCCCTTTGTCTTTGGTGGCAACAGACAGCTTTGAAGCCGCCATTGATCCAGTGTCATTCTACCCCACCTCCGTGTGGTTGGCATCTCAGTCCAGCCATGACCACTTTCGCTCCGTGTACTCCTTGCCTTCTTGGGCGCCTTACAATCTTGGTTCGAGACGTATGCGCCGCGGTACCCATATAAAACATAACCAAGCCAAGTCATGAGGATTCCTTGTCCTCTGGGGGTATTGTGCATTTTGTGTCGAAACCATCAAATCCGTCCCTGAAAAGTAATGTTGCTCCGCGGGGCACTGGTCATTTCATCCAGTCGCCCCTTTCTATTGCCGTGGAATCGAAACGCAAACCGCTTGTCTCGCGGGAATATACAAAGGAAAAGTTGTTGAGGCCGGTCTATTCTGGCGACCTATGCCAGGTAGTTGATGGAAGCCCATAACTTTGTACAGAAGCCCGGGACCGTATGTGCAGAAGGGGATCCGAGGATTATGAAATGTCTATGCGTTGTGTTGCGTCTGTAGTGTCGTGGAGACTAGCTCCAAATGAAGAAATGGAAGCGACGAGAATGCCTCGTCAATGTTTAGAACATGGAGCCCAGAGGCGCGCCAAAGTTGGTGCTCTTCTTAAGCTTCAGAGGAATGTCGACCTCTTCGATCTTTGGCTGAGACTCGGAGTCGTCGTCTTTGTCGATCGTAGAGCCAATGTCGCTGGCCGCGTCGGTGTCAGCCTTGGCACCGAGGTTGTTTTCTTTCTGCTCCGAGGAGCCAGCCAGGAGATCATCGGTCGAATCCCTCATACAGGTTGGCAGGGCGTCCTCGCCGCGACTAACGTCCTCCAGCTTCTCAGACAAGCGGCGGAAGAAGATTTCGTCGTGAGCCGGAATGTTGCGGATCATCAAAGGGCCCTTCAATCCAGTGTCGTCCGTTGCCTCCATGGGATACTCCTCGTAGTCGTCCCCGAAAACGTCATCCTTGACATCGGACGACTCGCCTCTAGCCCTGACGTCACAGAGGGTTGCTGGGTTGGAGCTCATGTCCGTCGGAGCCAGAGTAGGAGTAGAACCACCGGTACCATCAGCAGCAGTGGGAACCTCAGTGCCAGGCGCAGTTCCCAAGTGAGACAACGAGTGACTAGGAGTGTGGCCGGCGTGCATTACGAGCCTGTCAGTCTCGGGCGCCGCGAGAACTTGCATGGTTTGCTCCTTGGAGGGGCTGCTGCGGCTTGCCTTGCCAGGCTCTCCGGGAGGCGACACATTCCGAGATGAGTTCTTGGAGTTTTCCGGGGTGACGCCAAAGTCGGTAAAGGTAGGCTTCTCAATGGCAGGCACCTTCAGAGGAACACCTTCAAGTTGAGGATTGATAATCTGGATGTCGACGATGGGAACCGGTTCCTCATCTTTGGGAGAAGCAAGGAAGTCGACGGCGTTGCTTGTGGTGGGCTGCATATTGGGGTTGAGGGGGATGAATGGCGAAGACTCTGGTTGTCTTGTGGGAGAAATCCTGGAACTGCCGGGGCTAATAAAGTGAGATCGGACTTGGGCCGGCGAAATGGAGGCTGAGGCAGAGCCGTTTGTTGGCCTTGGCTCGCCAGTGTGAGTGCCGTGAGAGAGGCCGAACCGCGCGTCATTGGGGTGCGAGGAGAAACCTGGGAAGGAAACTTCTGTGGGGCACTCGGCCCCACCGCCGCTTGTTCTTGTTCCTGTTCCTGAAATTGCAACAGTGACGCCGGCAACTTTGCCTGCCCTCTCTAGCTCGTAGCGGTGCAGCGCTCCTTGCAGCCGGTTCTTGTCGCCTTCGATCAGCGCGACTTGTTGCTTCAATAGGCGAATTTGCTCCAGCAGGTCCGTCTTCTCTGCATCCCAGGCGGAACGCTCCTCTTCCATAATGACGCGCTCCTCCTTGTAAACCTCTTCGACTCGCTCGCGGTTGGCTTCCATGTACTTGCGCTCCGCTTCCCAGGCCTCTCGAATGCGTGCATTTTGCTGGGCGAGTTTGCGAATGATGTGTGCTGACGCTGGAGCCGAGGCTGCATCGGCCGAAACGGACCGTGGGTGAGGCATGCCGTTTGTTGATACCCTTCCGACGGCGGGATTGAGACCGACGACTTGATCTAGGTTCGTCGGCGAAAACGCCATGGACCTCGGCTCGTAGGGGTTGACACCGGGTTGGTAGTTTGAGCCGTTGGCGCCGTTAAAGCCGTTGGGGAGGAGGTTCGGGGAGAGGAAGCTCTGCGGGTGACGCACTGCGCCAGACGACTGAGGTGAGTAGATGGAGGTTGCTGGGTTGGACGTCGACTTGGTGTCGAAGTAGCACGAGGAGCCGGCCATTTTTGACAGCGACAGTGGTGAAATGACGGCCGAGGGTGGCATGTTGGGATCGTGGTCGGTGAAGCCCGAGGGCAGAAAAGAATCGGAAGCCAGCATGGTTGCCGGCCGTGGGATAAGTCGAGGTAATTAGTCTGGGTTTTAGGCCCAGGAACGCAGCATCGAAAGTAGTGGTGCACTGGGCTGAATGTCTTGGGGGTGTGCCTGCGGCGGCAGGGAGCGAGGCGATGCAGGATTCGCAGGTGACAGTGCAGCGCGGTCGCAGGGGGATGACGCAAAGCTGTTGAATGGCTTGTTAGCGCAGTTGCTTTTTGGGGCGGCGGCAGCTCCTTTGAGCCGTGCTCTTTCCGCCGGGCGCCTTCCAATGTATTGTTTTTTGCCCTGTGATTCTCGTTCCCTAGGGAGCTGGAGACCCCGCGGATCGCATGCCAAAACTAAATCAAATGACTTACAATAGTTACTTTCTGCGGGCGGATTTGATTGTGTATGAAGACTGCGTAATGTGTATTTGATTGGTGCGGGCGAACTTGGAAGGAGACCAGGTCTGTGGAGGATGTATTGGCGCTGGAGGTCGGTTGGCGTGTGTATATATGCGTGAATCAAGGGCTTGTGAGAACCCGGAGATTCTTGTCGAGGGATAAGGTTCGTAGTCTCGTATGGTTCAGTCGCGATCCAGGTCACAACATAACCAGTATAGTAGCGGGTGAGTCATTCGCGGTTCGGTCGTGAGGGAGAGGAGGAAAGAAGAAGGGTGCGGCGAGGGGCCAGGAGTTATTGTGAAAATAATAATGGGTGGTGAGCTGTTGCGGTGGTTCAGTCCAGTCAATTGAGAAGAGGAGGTGACCAGGGTGACGACGGGTTCTTGTTCTTGGTGTCCCTGGTAGGTGGTAAGGGCCTTGGTTACTTGTAAGGACCTTAGGTTGGAAAGGTAAGGTACTTTACTCCGCAAGGTCAGGCAGGTACCTCGAGGTCAGCCGGACATAGGTGAATTTCGCGGCTAGTGGTGACGGGTCGAGAAAGCGGGTTCGCGGGTCGGGTGGATGTGGACACTGGATGAGGGTGATTGTTGGCTGAGGTTGGGGTTGGGCTGGACCGCCTTGCTTGCTTGGGCTGGGGGACGGGCAAATATGGGAAATGCAGCAATTCGATCGTTTCGGTAGGGCAGCGGTTATTGTTATTGTGGGCGACTGACTCCAGTGCTCCACGTCCCATGCCGGACACTACCGCCTCTTTTTGTCCCTCCTTCTTGAGTTTTCTTTTTTCTCCCCTTTTTAGCTGTCGTCTCGGGCGGTCTCTATCGCTCTCGTGACACGCGATCAGCCGGGGAGGCGGCAGATCAAGGGTCGTTGGGGGCGGCGCAGACGGTAGGGTACGGTACAGTACGGTGGGTGGATAAATGGGACGAAGGGGTCCTGTAGAGGATTGGCGGGATGTGCAGCCCGTCGGTCGCCAGACGGAACGGTTTGCCTGGTAGCCGAACGCCCCTGTTGTTGCGACCTGCGCCTGCTTCCTTTGGAGCTGGACCCTGAAGCTGAGCAGCCCAAAGAGGGAAAGGAAACGCTGCTCGATTTGTCCGTCGGGACAAAAGCAACGGGAGGAAAGGTCGTTGACAGCTCAGAATGCAGGAGGCCAATCGACGACCACCCTAGAGAGACAATCGGCTGCCTTTGTTGCGGCTGGCCTGGGCTGGGCTGGAAGGGAGGGGACAAGACGAGCAAAGTTGGGGTAGGCGTGCCGAAGTCGTGGAACCAAGATGGTAATTGGTGGCAATATATTCGGTTTGGCTGGCCGGGGGGCTTGCTACTGGTAATGGAAAGTAAGTACCTGCCCTGGAGTACAATGCTCCTGTGCAAGAGAGCTAGGAAAGGTAGGTAGGCAGCTAAAAGAAGGAAATGTATTCGACCATTCGGTAAGGGCGGGAAGACGGTTGAAAGAGAGCGGATGAAGAGTTGGAGAAAGTGAAGGGGGAGTCTGGGAATGAGACGTATGAGAAAGTGGAAAGCTGACGATGCTAACTACGAATGAGAGTCCAAACTCTCGATAGAGGAAGAGTCCTGACCGGAGACTAGATGCGCCCCGCAGCCTTTGGGGAGACACTTGATCAATCACATGCGCCTGAGAGAGGGAACAACTGAACGGAAAGCAACACCTGAGAGTGTCTGTTGCTTTTTGGCTTTAGGTGAGCAAGCATGGAGCAACAGAAATAACCCGAAGTTGCATGACCGGTGCAATACGAATCGCATTTCCCAGAATCCCTCGTCCCCCGTCCCTTCTTTGCCCTTCCATCTCCCTCGACCCGGCTTAGCCTTTTTCCTTACATGAGCTCCGATTAATTGTCCATCCACACTTCATCGCCGCAATGCTAGGTAGCCAAGGCACGTAGGGCGGTACTTGATGCATCTGCTAGGTTCCTTACCTCTACACGTGTACAGTCGCACACAATTGGGTAGCTTCATGCCAAAATCGGGGTCCTCCATCCTCCATCCGACCCTTGTCAAGGTACCCGTACCTACACCACGGACAAAGTCTCCTACGCCTGGCTGGCTGGCGTCTGGAAGGGACGGGAGATGAGGACATCAGAGATGGTAGGGTGTGCCTCAGGTTCCTGATTGCGCATGGCATGCCTGCCTGTTCTGCCAAACAAGCCCACGTCCGTTTCATCTTTGACCTCAAGTTGCTCAAAGAATACATCCGTGACTTGGGGAGCTCGGCTGGCTCTCTGGCTTCCCATTCTTTTTGGGATACCAGGCTTGGAGGCTTTCCGATTTTGGCGTCGGGATGGCCTTTCCTCGTTGTCCATTGCTCTGAGCGCAGGTCTGTCAGCCCGCCGGACACCCCAAGAACGGCATCGCGGGGGTCGTTTCAGTTCCCATTTGTGTCTTCGTCAGCTCCCCCGTCTGCCTGCCTCACGCTCCGGATGGTGAGGCTTTCAAAGTTCAGGCACCTCTACAGATACCACGGACTCAAACACGTTCTCGTCGTCCAAACCGTACAGGGGACAGCTGGTGCATTGGATCGAGCTGGTGTTTGAGTTCCAATCGGGGAGGGAGCGGCTTCGGGCCGTGTGGTTTGACTGATGATTCAACTGACTCTTGTCCGCTCTTTGTGATGGACGTCGCAAGCCCCTCGTCCCTGGACGTGTCCACGTTGCTTCAGATTTAAGGTACAAAGAAGTCATTGGAAACGGGCGTGGAAAACGCTTGCTTGCTCTCGTTTGACACGTGAAGAGGCCCTGGCCACCGCTGGTTTGTGCTTGTGCCGGTGCCTCTCGTTGAGCCTGAGAGCCGGTTGATGCGACAAAGCATACCCGGTACGTATTGGTCATGGTTCGAAACGGACGGGAGCTGTTCTTGCTGCTCCGGAAGTCTGGCCTGCGTTCCTGGACAGCATACATTGGCTGTACTTGTCTTCCCCGCATCGTCATGGTGGTGAGCCAAGTACTGCGTATGCTGTCGGTACGTAGCTGCTAGCAAGCCAATCAGCTGGCTGCCCTGTCTGGAAGAGTGCCGTGCCTGGGACGCGGAGCCCGTTCCTGCTGCTCCTTCCCCCCTTCTGCTTTCGCTGCAGTGGTTGGACACCCGCCGAGACGTTAGTCCGGGGCGATAAGATGCTTCGACCACGTCGTTCGCGATTGCATCTATTGGATCACTTCCTATTGGTTCGGCTTCAGTGGTCTTAGCTTCCCTACGGAGTCGGGTCGGAGGGGCAAAGGGAAAGTGACTTGCGTCTTGTGCCCCCCTCTGTCCTGCCCCTGTGCAACACGTCGACAGCCCCTCAATCTTGAGAACTCATTCCTCACAATTTGATACTCTTTTCGGACTCATCTAGGTGCAGTCCAGAGGTAACGCAGATAACGCGCAGTACATGATGAAGTCATCATTCTTGCCCAACGACTTGCCCAGCTCTTCGGATACCTCGCTCTGCCTCCAGCTCGCTCGCACCTTCAGGGCTAATCCCAACTCAGCCATGAGCTAGACAATTATTAGGGTCTCCATGGAATACTAACCGACACCATCGACGCCGGGCTTTCTGCTCCGTCAGGCTGACCTGTGTCCCGCCTAGCCGCAACAAAGGTACTGGAGCCACGCACGCAGCACTGGCTGGTCGATTCGGTTTCAATACGATACACTGCGCAGCTTGAGGCCTTTGACTCCCTGGCTCCCAGCCCTCAACTCAACTGTCACCATAGGCCAGCCCAGGCGTGGTGAGCCCGGACGCAGTGTCTGGACCGCGAGATAACGGGTCTCGGCCAGCCAGAAAGAACTACTCAGGGCGACTGAGACGAGCGAACCTTGGCCAGGGCGCGACCTCACAATCTTGAGTTTCCATTGCAATGGCGAGAGGCAAGCCATCGAGAATCTGCGTACGTCACAATCACCAGCAGCCAGCCCACTAGGCCGCAACCACCAGAGACAGCATCATTCTCTGCTTTGCTGCTTGCAGAAGCCCCGCCGGGGCAGACATACAGGCCCGCATGTGAATGATTGCAGATACACCATGGACAGTGAAGATCCAGCACGCACGGGAGATCTGGCAGTCCATGTGGTGCCGGTAAGCCTGCTCCAAACTTGCGACGAGACGGACGGGAGCGGGAACGGAGCGGGAACGGCGACTGGCCCTTTCACCATCTGCGTCCTTGTCCAATGCGAACGCTCCGTCGACGATAGCCCCTCAACAGTGGCAGCCCGAGATTGACAACAAGGCGTTTCGTCCCAAGAAAAGATCCAGAAATAAGCTGCATACCGCCTTACAACTCCGACGGGCGACTGCTGCAGCTCCTAGGGCCGGTAACACCCAACCGCCACGTCGGCCAGCGTCGCCTGCGTGCCTGAATCGTCTCACGCCAACAGCCCTCACCGGCGTTCACGCCACCGGATTGGGACTGACGGGCGATGGGAAAACCACATGGGGCGCCCGTCTCTCGCTGTCAGATGCCAGCCACAGCACCTTACGTTTTCTTGTTCCTGAGACGACTGGGGCGGTGTGGCCCTCCGGAGCTTGTTCTTCTCCTTTCTCGGCCAGGTTCCAGGATCGCTGGCCAACCAATGAATGTGTCTTTCGGGATATTTTTCTCTCGCTCAATCGATCGGGCCTTCTCTGAACCACACACGGATCCACTGTCTTCATGCCCATTTCTTCAACTTGCTATCTCGACCCTCGCAGTTACCGCAATTGTTATTCGGGTTACCGCAATTGTTATTCGGCGCAATTCCTGATGCCGCGATACTCGTTGAAGAAAAGCAGTCTCCGTTGACGAGGAAGCTTCCTCACATTAGCGCTGTCTGGGATTCATTTGACGCCTTCGTCACTGCCCAGCCATTGTCCATTTAGCTTCGTTGCTGTTTTTTCGCCAGTGGTCTTACTGGTTCAGACGGATGGAAAGTCTCGTCGGTTGAACAAGTCAGCAGAGTGGTCCCTTGGTTCCAATTTCTACAGATGCGCCAGCCACCATGATTCAAAACCTGGTGGCAAAGGCAACATGATTGTGGCAGAGGCGACAATCATTTCCACCGTCAGCAGAGTCGTTGGAACAGACCAGGTCACCAAAGTTGCCTCATCCACGTCTGACTCGCCCGCCGCCGAGCAGGCCCGCTTTTGTTGGCCGACGCCTCCGGGGGGCTGTCCCGAGCGCTGCCCCGAGCCGTCGCCGGACTTGGATACACGTACGGAACGCAGGACACCTCGGCAACCACGGCAGACTGTCGGCCCTTTTCCGCATTCCGATGGCAACGGTGTCCATATTGCCTACCAGGGGAAAGGAGAGAGATCCGCAACCTGTGGTCCTTCTAGAGTCCACCTAGAACAAAAATCCTGCGGCGCCGTCGAGCGGCATCAAAGAGCCTCCTGCGTGCATCCACATCCTCTACGCTAGACTCGAAACTCGGGATGTTATCAGTTCGGCCATTGCCCGGCAAAACTCTGCTCGGGTCGTCGAGGCGATGGGCTCATTCGTTGTTGAGGCTACATGACAACTGGTCCGTCAAACTGGTTTCGCCCGCATGCATTCATGCCGATTCGGTGTATCAATCGGTTTACAGCGTTCACTTTGCGGTGTGGTCTATCAAGCAAGCACTTCGGATTTGCTTAAACCGCCTTGGGGGGAAATCCAAGGTCATGCGGCTTTGCATGGTCGGGAGCTAGGCCCAGTCCTGCAGCCGACCTGCCTACCTAAGACACGCGCGTAACAAACCAAAGTTGACGATGTCTCGAGCGCGTAAACCTTCGCTGTGCCTTGAATTGGCATGGCGCTAGACTGAGGAGAAGCGGACCGGTCAACCATCGCACTTCGACCAAGGTAAACGTCTGGGCATGCTCACTCTCTCTCACCTCTGATGCCTGCAGCACCAACGCGCCAAGAGGTCGCGCGTCCCCCTTCACCGACACTCTAGAAAAAAAAAAGCCAACCCCCCAGCTCTCGCCATTCCAGACCTGCATCGTGACCCACTTGGCCAGCTCACACCGTCTGCTCCTCGCCTCTGCAGCTCTGCCTAACGCCGCAGGCGAGTGTTTCTCAAAGGCAAAAAACGCTGGTGCGTGTAGCTTGACTGCAGAATACTCGAGGGAAAGTTCAGGTGACTCATTTACGATAGGAGTGAGTGATATTATCTGGCTCAGGGCGGCTGGCTTCGACCGGGCATGGCTCTTGTGCGGCCATCTGCCAGGGCTCTCGAAGTCGAGGAGGTTGGCGCATTGGAATGCCTGGTCCCGTCGAGGAGATATCGTTTCTTGAGCTTGGGTAAGTTGGCTGGCTCCCAGAGCCTGCGGTCACTGATCCTTGGTATTGAGGTGCAGTCCCTGTTTGGAGTGCCGGTGATCTGCTGTGATGTTCCGTTCATCCCAAGTTGCAAGTCTGTTGGCATGGTCAGATATGGATCACCTATCGCCACTTTGGACTCTTGCTCATATGGTTTAGCCTGAGGGAAGTGAAGTTACGCGACAGGCAGGCGCTCCTGATGTTGAGACGACTGTTCGACTATTGCTTTCAACGGCCTCTGGATCGATCGGGTATTCGGTGCTCACGTAGAGGCTGCTGCAAAAAGGACATGCGAATCTGCAACCTCCAAAAGCCAAAGAAGACGTTGACGCAGCGGCCAGGCTTCATCACTGACAAAACTCAGCTGTGTTCAACCGTCCTGGACCTATTCGGTCTTGAAGCCTTCCCAGGTCTTGTGCTGAGACGTGCTGTTGATCCAAAGTAAAGTAGCTTATATCGTGAACTTGTCTATTGCATGCGTCATATCCAGCTATTCGTTTCATATAGCAAAGGCTTACAGAAGAATTGACAATTACATATTGCCACTCTGTGAACACTGAGAAGCGTGTAGTTGACAATGCCCTTGTGGTCTATGCTCTGGTGAGCTGGATTCAAGGAATGCAATGCACCTCAAGGTCGGAGCAGTAATCAACTTCGTAGTATAGAAGGTTTCCTCCTCGGAAGGCGAAAATACTTGTCTACAGCATATTCGATCGTCGCGTTAATTCTAGGAGGCGGAGAGGCATGAATGTGTCCAGTCGGCTCCACAACTTTGGACCTGGCTACTTAGTCAGACTTACCACCTGGTTTGCCACAACCAATCACCGCAGTCGGATCGATAGCTCAGTGGTAGAGCGAGAGATTGCAGTTCTACGCAGTTATCTCTAGGCCCCGCGTTCGAACCGCGGTCGGTCCTTCATCTTTTGCCGTTTCAATTGACGACGTTCTTTTTTGCTGTTAACAATTCGTTCTTCGCCAGCGAAATCATTTTTTCCCAAAATGACTACCAGCTGGAAGACTGACTAGCTTTTTCTTGCAATCCTTCTTGCTGCGCGTGTGAAGATTATCTGGAAGACGTGAATTGCTTACCCCCAATTCATTTTGCAGCTAACGTTCAGCTCTCAGTCGTTGTAACTCAGAAATGGTTTACTCGGCTTTGGAATAGGAGAAGATTGAGTAAACTTCAACTGATAGTAAATTTAGACAACGTGCATCGCTGGTGCCTTTCGTTTCAGGTGATCTACAGAGCTGAACCATTTCCGCGTAACGCCCGAACAGTCCGTAACACTGCCAGCCATTGCAAGTCTAATTTCATGCCCACGCGAAACCTCTCTCTGGCCGTCCAGCTACACGACACACAACCGCAGATTCCTCCCAGCATGACAGCTGCGGTAGCCTCGCAAGGCTCGTCAACAGGAACACCCCGGAAATCAAGTATTTGGTAGGGCTCCATAGGTCAACTCCGACAACTGTTGCCAAAACTCAAAGCCTTCAGGCACTCCCACACCCTCCGCAAACACAGGATCCATCATCGTCGGCATCGTGCTGGTAGCCCCCGTAGGACCGACCTTGGACAAGAACCAGCGCCTGATGGCTCTGTAATTCTCGGCATACGAAGAGAGCAAGGGCTGGCGGTTAACAAGAGACGCGCAACCGGCGGCGTCGATACGAGTGGCGGCATCGAACCGCTCGCTCAGGATCTGAAGCGTATCTGCCAGGCTGAGGCTCGCCCTCGCCGTTTCGAGGTCCCAGTCGCGGTCTTTCATGCAGAGGAGGCCGCAAGCCTTGATGATGGCCAGCGCGAGGTGCAGGATCGAGATGAAGGTGAGCGACGCGTACGTTTCCACGGGCAGGGCGAGGAAGGCGTTGAGGAGCTCTTGGATGCTTGTCAGGCACTGCCACATCATTCGAGATCCGAGGTGAGGTATCTGTGGTCGTGTGCTGCCTTGGACGTGGATGGCCGGCTCGAAGAGTCGGATGCGGATGGCTGCAGATTGCTCGCGCAGGAGATCTTTTCAGTGAAACGTCAGCAGATTCCATTGCACGAGAAAAAAGAGAGACGTACAGTTTGAACGTAGCGGGGCGGGCAAGGAGTCCATGAAGGAGTCCAACTCCTTTTCGACGGTGGCAATGGCGAGGGCGTGGGGGCCCCCGAAAGGCTGGTCGTTGGCAAGCTCGCTCTGCTCTCTGAAGGTATCATCCACCCTGAGCGCAACTTTCCGAGCTCCAATCAGCTGCACAAGCAGCAGATCTGTCGAGTATTCCTGAGCATTGGCTAGCTTCTCGCAGCAGTCATCGAAGTAACGAGTAAACTCTAGCCAAGATGATCTACCGAGAAGACCGGACAGTCTATGCCACGTTCGAGTTCGTCAGCGTTGGAAGATGATGAGAGTTTGTCTGGCCGACTTACACGGATGACATGTGGAACAGGCCTAGGACAGCCCTTCGACCAGCATTCGTGTGCTGATTCCTCACCTGAATGTCTTTACTAAGGAAGGCGGCATCTTCGTAGATGGAGCCGGACGGGGACACAGGGATGCCGGGGCGCTTGGTAAGCCCCAAGTCTTCTGCTAGCCCACGAGCAAGCTGCATGAGGCTCGTGTCGCTAGACCTCGCGTAGTAGAGAATATCGTTCCTATCGGTAAGGAGACGTGTCAGAGAAGCTGGCGCATGGGAAGGGCAAAGAGCCAACGTCGAGTGGGGGGATTACCAGGCAAAGTAAACGAGCAGCGCCTGCAGAATCTCTAGATTCTTCTCGAGTAGGACGACAACTCGGTAGGCAACATATTGCCGAAACCACCTCTCAAAACCCACGCTCAGGTCGCGGCTGGGAGGCATGCACGTCCATAACACTTGTTTTGAAGAGCAACGGCTTGCTCCTGTAGAAGTCGTACGCTTTGTCGTTGGGCAACGGTACGAAGGGGAACTGTGGGACGAAGTCGGATGTGTAGATTTGGAAAATCAGCTCAGCTTCCTGGAGTGTCACTTGGTAGCCAGGGATGATGGTGATTGCCTCGGTACTAGGGTCGATGATGGTCGGAGGTGTATTGAACGACACGTTCGGGTCTTCCTCTCCCTGACTATGTGAAGCGAGACCGACCAACGGCGAAGATTGACTGTCGGAAGCCTGGCTGTTCTGAGCTGACAGGTCGCGTTCTCGATTCAAGAGTAGCATGATATCATCTAGCTTGCGTTCAAGAACCTTTGCGTGGCTTTAAGGGTTTGTAAATCATCAGCCTCGCGTGTCTCGCAAAACAGTCGGAGACCTCTTACGTCGCCTTTCCTCTCTTCCTCTTGGCCTGCGGCTCTGACCTCGAGCACTCCAGACCGTTGCTTGAACATCTACGACGCGAACGCGGTCAGCTCGGATCTCCAGAAAGAAACTTTTTCTTCAGTTTTCCAGATAGACGAACCTTTGACAGATATGGGGCTCGGAGCCATCTGCTGCACTAGGCCAGACACATTTTGCCTTGGACCGGGAACAGTTTGTGCAAGCTCTCCTTTCTTCACCTGCGTGAGGAACATCCGGCATGACCAGGGGGCCAGTCAATTGTCGTCGTCGGCGTCGTCGAGCGATTTAACTTTGTATCCGGGATGAAATTGCAGGCCGCGGGGATCCGTTAAAGAAGCAATCGGCGTATGAGTCACACCGAACTCGTAGCGGGAGGAAGTCGGACGGGTGTGGGAAGGGACGACACAAAACGCATGAGACGCCCGGGCCCGGGAGTCAAAAAGCTTTCCGAGAGGAAGTGGCCGATCGCGACAGGCAGTGAGCCGCGCCGTTCAATTACACGGCCAACGTCCAACTCCCGGGAAGCATTTTGCTGCCCGGCACCGCAGACATGTCTCGTGTAATACCAGTATATAGGAAAGATGTCAGTTTGTCGAGGAAAGTTCCCTTGTGAACTCTCTTCCTCCCCGTCACAATAATTTTCCTTCTACAGTGATTCTTTTCTTTTTTTTTTTTCACTTGACAATCTTTGACATCACAAGTCCTTCGCGAAAATGGCTTCGGATCACCAAGTTCAGACCAGCGAAGTCCCGCTCCAAGATGTGGACAAGGACTCTCGCCGGCCTGAGAAGGAAGCCATCCCCAATGACCAGTCTGACAAGGAGCTAGACGGCATCACGGAAAGTGGCTCTGATGATCCCGAGCCCGAGTATGCAACCGGCCTTGGCCTGGTCTGCATCGTCGCCGGTCTCGCGCTGGCGGTTTTCTGCCTGTCTCTGGTAACCTTCCCATCTTTCACAACCGCCGTTCCGAACCATGCAACTGACATTGCGATCCTCAGGACCGTACGATCCTCGCAACAGCAATCCCCACCATCACGACCGAGTTCAAGTCTCTCGGTGACGTGGCCTGGTACGGAACCTCGTTCCCCTTGGCCACGTGCTGCTTCCAGCTCATGTTCGGCAAGCTCTTCGCCGAGCTCAGAGTTACCTGGGTGTTCCTCGCCGCGCTCGGCATCTTCGAGGTCGGATCGATAGTCTGCGGCGCTGCCCCAAACTCCCTGGCCCTCATCATCGGCAGAGCAATCTCGGGTATCGGTTGCGCGGGGATGCTATCTGGTGTCTCCATCATCATTGCCCTTAGCTTTCCGGTCCAGAAGCGTCCCATCTACACGGGCATGATCGGTGGCATGGCTGGTATTGCTGAGATCATCGGTCCGACGATTGGAGGTACGAATATGCTTTCCTTCCACATAAGACCAAATAGCACAAAATGCTCACAACACTATTAGGTGCCCTCACCGACAATGCCTCCTGGCGATGGTGTTTCTGGATCAATCTCCCTCTCGGCGCAGTCACAGCCGTCATGGTCATTCTGTTCGTCAAACCTCCCAAGAAGACGGGCGAAACCAAGGCCATCGGCCCTCTCCTCAAGAGCATGGACCCCCTCGGAAACGCTCTGCTGATGCCCCTCATGGTCTGCTTCTTGCTGGCCCTACAGTGGGGAGGAACCGTGTACGCCTGGAGCAACTGGCGCATAATTCTCTGCCTGTGCCTCTTCGGCGTCCTGTTAATCGTGTGGCTCTACGTGCAGTATCGTCGCGGCGACGAAGCCACCCTGCCGGTCCGGCTGATGCGCCAGAGATCCGTCGCCAGCGGGACCCTCTTCATGCTGGGAACGAACGGCACGGTGTTCGTCATCGTGTACTACGTCTCCTTCTGGTTCCAGGCGGTCAAGGACGTAACGGCACAGCAATCCGGCATCAACTTCCTTGCTTCGTCCCTCTCCGTGTCGGTCTCCGCAATCGCCTCGGGATTTTTGGTAAGTAGCAAACCGAGAACGGGACTTTGTGGCTTCGTGGGCTGATGTGTCTGTTTCTTCAGGTGTCCAAGATCGAATATTGGGTGCCTCAGATGGTTTCCAGTACGGTCCTTCTGTCGGTTGCTTGCGGACTGATCTACAGATACAACCTAGAGACGTCGACGGCATACTGGTGCGTTCTTACGACTCCCCCCTACCTTTGACGTACGCAATTTCTCTAACAGATTGAAACAGGGCCGGCACGCTCGTGATATTTGGCCTCGGCGTCGGGCAGGGCATGCAGATGCCGCTATCTGCCGTACAGACAGTCCTCAAAGGAGCGGACATCGCCCTGTGAACATCTGTCCTTCTCCTCGCCCAGACTTCGGCCGGCATCATTATGCTCGCAGTCGCGCAAAATTTGTTCCAAAGCACGCTGCTGAAGGAACTCACGAACAAGGTGCAGCAGGTTGACGCCAAGGTCATCATAGACCACGGTGCCTACGGGCTCAAGAGCATGGTCACGGAGAAGTACGGCGCGGAGGCCGCGACCGCAGTGCTCAAGGCGTACAACGAGGCGCTCCGGTCGACCTTCCTTTTGTCCATTGTTCTGGCTTGTCTGACGTTCCTTGCCTGTCTGGGTACGGAATGGAGAAGCGTCAAGGAGCAGACCAAGAAGACTGAGGAAGTCGAGGAGGCCAAGTAGGGCCTCCGTGAACTGTCGACCCACGCCAACTGACATTGACTCGGGGCTCTTCTGACACTAGGCTGGTCCACGACGGTGAGGAAAGCTGTCAAGCATACCCGGGGGAAAGTCTTGCGGGTGTCATCACACCATAGGTTTTCTTCGGCCTCTTTCTTGTACCATATCGCTTGTAATCGTCAAATAGACTTGAACACCTTTTGAGCCCAAGATGGCATCATTAAAACCTGACCCTGACCGCAGCCTACTTGCGACGTGCGACTCGCTTGATCGTGAACCATCGTCGCCGAGCGAGACAGACTGTGAGTGCTTTGCAAACGGATAGATCTGAATTCGCAGCCGATCAGAAAACTGCACTTGCAGTCACACGCGAGCAACCAAACGGACTTGACTACAACTTGGGATAAAGGAGAACACTTGAACGCGTTCTCTCAACTACGTTTCGCTGAGCCGACAAGCGCTGGGAGCATATCCATCGATACCCAATACCAGTCTTAAACCACTTGGTCCACCAGACTGGCCCAGGTTCATGACGAGAATCATGACTTCAGATATCTCTCCAATGCAGTGAAGTGCACTTGCTCGCCAGCACGGTCAACTTCGATCAAACACCCGTCCACTCGAAGCCTCCTCTACGGTCTTCTCGCACATCAGGAGCCAGTCGACGAGATCGACCCAACCCCTCAAGACCTCACTCGAGGCAAAGACGCAAACCATCCCCATCTCCCTAAAGATAGCAACGCCACGTAAACCCTCTAAGCCGCCCTGCAAAACGCGCAAACCCATCCCAATGACCTCCGTCCACTTGGCACGACGCGCACATCGCTGCAGTATCCCAACAACATCCAAACCGATATCCCCAATGATCCTCAACCAAAAGGTTCCAATCAATTTTGCCAACGAGACAACGCTGTCCTCACAGCCACCCCGTTCCCGCCACGGCCCGCACAAAGATCGCCAAAAACACAGCCATCCCGCAACGCAAGCTTTCCACGTCAACGCCGCGCGAACGCCCCTCTCACCGCAAAACCGTCTTTTTCTCTCTGTCTCCGACAAGAAAGCACACGCCCCCTCTTGGCCAAAATCTTGTACCAAGCCCCCAAAGAAACGGATTGTCCATCACCTTGACAAGCCTAGATTGCCAACGAAACGAGACAGGAACCATCGAAACTCTTTCTGTACGTCTGTCTGGCTCAGTCTCACCAATATCAAATTCGCGTCCTCGAACGTGGGAAAGATCTTCTCGGCCAGGCCAAATGCACAACCCCCTTCGCCTTTCCCGCCAAGAGACTTCGCCAAGAAGTGCGAGGAACGCATCGGGAAAAGAAAAGCACGCTCGAGCGGAATGGTGCGAAAAAGGTGCACTTTCAAAACCAATGCCAAGAGGAACATCATCATCATGCTGACCCGCCGCTATTGCTATTTTTCCTTTTCATCCCATGAAGTCCTTGAGCCGTAGACAGCCTCGAACGGTAAGGGAGCTTGATAGCCGCGCGGACTACGGGCCACGCCATCTTGGCAACGTGCAGAGACACACGTCTACATGAGTACCGCTCTGCACAGCAAAGGCACGCACCGGGAAGCCATCCCCGGGAATGTGTTGGGAAGGCGCAGGACGCAAGAGAGCTCCGGGTGTCGGAGGGCGCATTCCCCGGGGCCGCACAGGTAGACGCCTCCTTTCTCCCCTTTGCCCACCACGTCCGAACTTCGGGGTGGGTGTCTGAGTTGCGTACCGTAGATTTCGTCCTTGCTTTTTCCCTGTTCTGACTTGTTCGTCCTGTTGTAATTCGCCTTGTCAACCTTGAGATGGTATTCGTAGAGAGCAGTAAAACCGTCGTCAAAGGGGACAAAAAGCTTGACACGTGGATTACACGAGATCGACCATCGCCTATCGTTCAATAGGAGAGCCCGAAGAAGCCAAGATTTGGAGATGAAAATCAGAGCAGACAAAACTGGTGTTACCTTGCAGAGAGACTTGACAAGGTCCGGTGGTCTGTTCGGACTCTGGGCATTCAGCTCTGCTGACTGGCTGCCGGTTGGCTTGCCTTTGCAACTTGTGTGGTAGCGTCTGGCAGAACGCCAAGCCGCCATTCACACATGTTCAAGTCTCTTTACTTTGAGTGGTTGATCGCCGTCCACCGCACTAGATATGCGGACGTCGCCGACTCGGGAAAGGCAGGAGAACCGTTCTAGAAGATCTGGCCCAGACGTCTTGAGCATGCCACTGTTTCTTTGCCACTAGAGATAAGGTACTGCCTCCGAATGCTCGTAGGCTTCATCACCCCACTCAGGCTGGTGACGCCGTATGCAGAATGAAAAGTTTGTTATCAAAGGACCGCTCTGGAGACGCTCCAGGCTGAAGGGAGAAAAAAAAATCAATCCGACCTGCGCATTTGGACAGGCTAATCTGACCATCGCTTGTTGAGCCGCAGAAGTTTCTACGGCAGATGGGGAGAGGCCAAAGATGTATCCGTGACTTGGACTCCCTATGAGCAGTACTTCTAAGCCGTGAAAAGGCAGCCACCACCTCCAACATCATCTTCGCCTTCGTCATCATGGTGCATAGAATGTGAGGGATTTTCCGGTGCTCTCAGGGAGAATGGACTGTTCCCTCGCAACAACGAATAGAGTTCCTTGGGTGTGATTGTGTCGGGACAACGGAGCATCGTGATAGGGCTCTCCATTCAGCCCTCTCACCCCGCGAACCCCAGACTTTTGCCATATTGAGGGGTGTGGTGAGAGCTCACCCGCGTATTCCTGGAAAGACCCGGCGCAGCTGCCCGTCTGCGGTGCGACCAGGACATCAAGCAGCAGCGTTGTATGAAATGGCCAGCCAGGAGCCATGCTGCTGCGGCACGGAAAGCTGCGGTGAGAGGCGACTCGACAAACAGCTCTTCGAAAACAGAAGGCAGTCGCATGAGCTCTCAAGGGTTTGAAGCCGGGGGCAGCGGCTGAGTATCATTGCGTCCGGTGTTCGCATCTCCTACAGCGAGATGCAGCAAGCATTGAAGCGAGATTCCCAACCCCTTTTACCAGCAGCATACTGTACATTACAGCGCAGCACAGCACGTCTGGCACCCTTTCGCTGGCACCGCAAGGCCGGTAACAGTCGTTCAAGGCCCCAAGGGCCCGCCCGCTCTGGGAGACTCCGGTGAGCAAAGGCGGAAGGCGGCTTCCAGGACGGGGATTGGAAAGAAACGAAAAGAGGGGCGCGCCGCCGGGCGAGCGAGTGCGAGGATCAGATGCAGGCGGACGCTTCCAGGGCTTGACGGGCCATTGCTACGCAGTAGCTCACCGCCACTTGGCTTGGCGGCAAATCCGTCTTCAAGGCGTGGAGAAGCCGTCCGAGGGGGGCGCTTGAGCGGACGGAGGGACGGCGAAGTGAGCGGCGGGAAGAGGAGACAAGCTCGGAAAAGAGGCTGGTGCTGGAGGTGATCGTGGAGACGATGATGTGGTAGTGGATTGGCAACGGAGAGCCTTCGATTGGACAAAGACGCCGTTTTGACAGCTTCTTCTCCGAACGCCGAACCAAGTTTTCGTCCGGATGCCCGCCCACTGACAATCGGCAACAGCCAGCCACATTCGCCCACAAATCCCATCTCATTCCACACAAATGTGTTTCCTATTGGGACACCGAGAGACCTGGTGAATGGAATAGCAACACGAAAAAATTGGAAACTGTTCCCCCACCTTAAATGTTATCAAATGCTGCTGTCTTTGGCTGTTTGACTTGTACCAATACTGGTAGCATCGTTGAAGTCAAGGGTACCCCGTCATGGAATCCTTCACCTCATCAGGAATATCGGCATCCGTCGCCATCCCGTGTGGTTCTCTGCCGCATATCTCGATGCGAGGCATGCTGCTGCAACCCCTCATATCTCAACAACAGGCCCGTCTCTGATTTGTCGCCGTGGTTCATTGTGGCATGCCGCATCAGCAACGAGGAGGCATAGCTCGCGCGTCTTGGCTGAGGCTTTACGAGACCAAGAGCTCTCGCCTGGCCCAAAAGGCGTCCTGATCTGCGATTTTTTGGCCAAGGCCAGACCTGTACTTGCCGTTGCCTTTGCTGTTCCAGATGGCTGTCCCCCCTTGCAACAATCAACTTGCAGATATGCATGTCGATGTCGAATGTCCAATCCGCTTAGAGCTTCCAGCTGGGGAAAATTTGAGTTTCGGCGGCGCCATCTCAACAAGTCGCAACCACGGAGTTGGGGGTTCAATTTTGGGGGGCCAAGTCGCATCTGCTAGGGACACCAGAATCATCAATGTGAACCAGTGTTAGTGGTGCAAGCCAAGGCTCGCAAGGAGCAACGATGGAAAGACGGCGCTAGAAACACCGAGGCTCGAGCGAGGCACCGCTGTCTTGGACGCAGAATCGACGGGCGCGAAACGATTCCAGGAGAGTGTTGAACAGTTTCCGCCCTGACCCTCGATTATTATTCATATCGCCTAGCCCTGGTTGATAAAGGCGTGTGCGTGTGTCCACCGGCGGCTCCAGCGCCGTCGGCAAAAAGTCAGAAGAGGGCATATTAATTTCTGGGGCCGACTGTCGGTCCCTCAGTGACAGGAGACTCCGGGGCTCATTTCGGAGCAACTCGGTCGCCAAGTCATCGGCGAGAATCAGAGCGCGAGGTGTCTTCGGGTCCAGACGGTCAAGTGATGAGACCCATGATCCGTCCTCTACTCCCTTCCACCCCTCTACGTCGCGCGCATCGCCAGCGGCCAGCGCCAATGCCAGCCTTCATTTCGTTATGCATCTCCCGCCTCATTTGGGCCACCTGCAGTAGTGCATCAAGCGAACCACTCACCGGCGCTGTTGTAGGCGTCGCGGTCTTGTCCAGCGTGGGGGACCAAATGCTCGCGGATTTGCGCTGAAAGCCTGAAACAAGTCGTGGCCAACAGGGCTGTCATAAAACTACTTTCAGCACACCCTCAGCTCCTATCGAATGCCGCCTTGGACGGTCCCGACCCGCGCGAATGTCACTGGATACGACGCGGGTGAC